GACCCCTACCTAACCTTTTGGTTCTGAGCCTTCTTACGTATTAATGGGTCAAATTTGCATTCTGCATTTACGTAAGTTAATATAAAAAAGCTTAAAAAGTTTCTTAAAACATCACCAACTAATGATGCAATAAGTAGGTCATATCAAAATGACTTTTACGTCTCACATGTAAAAGGTTAGTTTTCTTCATATTTATCTACCGAGTACCAAATGGTTGGTTAAGGGGGCAAGAGTCATAGAGCATCGAGTGTACCCATCGACATTTTATTACAACGTAATTTTGAGAGAAATACTCGGTGTTTTCTTTTGTCGTATCTTTTAGTGTAAGTACCCATATTTATTACAAGTAAAAACCATTCCCATCCCTATTCGTGATTTATGACATAACGCAACCTTGAAAAGGCCAATCAGTTTGCAATCCCAACCGCCCCCCGCGCCCGCGCACCTCAGCTCTTTGACACATTTGTTTGTTTGAAGAAATTAAGACATTAGGCGTCTATTAGGTTATGATGTCGATGAGTGTACCATATTTAGTCCTATATATAAAATATATTATTTTTTGCAAAAAAAAAACCTATTTCGCAAAATCTTTTTTGCAAAAACAACCTTTTTCGCAAAAAATTTATCGTTAATTTATTTTCGAAATTACTACATTTCAAATGCACTGTTATGGAACAGGTTCTAAAACCAGCTACTTCAGCAAAAATTTTTTTTTTTTTTCGACATTCATTCGCACATGAAACCATAAACTGTAGTAACTCAAAAATGATGGAATCAAGAAAACACGATTTGAAAGTTCAAAAAGTGTGGCAATTATTATTTCATTATGTTCGGAATAAGATTCATTCTGTATTATTTTTAATTATCAAATAGGGTTTTCTAAATTCCATTCCCTTTTTGAGTTACAATTACAATAATAATATTTAAAGTAGAAATATTTGTTACAACTCTAAAACGACCTGTCAAAATCACCGTGCTATGATATCTCAAGTACGGTGATAGATAATCACAACGACACTACGTAACGGCATCTGTACAGGAAGTTACGTAGAAACGTGAGCTTTATTTCAGTAGAATTATCTTAGGAGGCTTAAGATCCCCATAAAAAAAATATATCAGTGGGAAAAATATCCTAGTACTCGAATAATAACACAAAGACATACAGATTATGTATACAAGATTATTTGTAAAATAACTCTCGCATGACTATATTACTAACATCATAAATAACAAGGTTTGTATTACGACTTTTACAAAACAATAGAAATTTACCAATAAATAAATAACGCATCCACTTATAGCCTAAAGGAAACCGTGTCGCGGGTGCCATGGACAACACACGTAGACAACCACAAATTATACCCAAATTCACAAGAGAAATAAACACAAATATTATAACCCTACGGTAAGGGTTTCCGTTCGGTAACCCTTCGGCCAAGTAGGCAGTTAAATAAAAATTATACTTTTCAGTTTGTGTTGTACTATATACTTTTAAACTTTCCCGTTGCATTGTACTAACATTTGGAAACGGGAATAAACGCGTTCACATACGAAAAAAGCTGACCAGTCCCATATCATTCTATATAAGTTTTATTTTTTTTAAGTTAAGTTTTGCCCCTCTCTATCAACCTCTTCGTTATGCGGTAAGGGCAGTATGAACCTGTACGAGCAAACTCGCACAGGAACCATATCTAAGTCAGGTCGTAACCCCGAAACAGCACTTACTTCATCCGGTTCTCTGTAAGGCCAGTGCCTTAGGTGAGCCGCCCCGGGTGCACCTACAGCGCCCTCCCTGTTTTCCAGAAAGGTGCCGGAGCTATAAACACGCTCACTTCCCGTCGCGCTCCGCACGACTAACGGTTTTCCACCGCTGAGCCGCCGACTCTAAGCCGACTACCAAATCTCGTCATTGGTGACGGAGCTGTAAGGTAGCTGACCAGTCAGCCCGTGACCACGGCCAGTGCAACCTGGCCGAAGCATCGGGAAAGAAGGTAGGTGTAAAAAATAGTAAAAAATACCTATACGTATGTGAACGCGTTTATTCCCGTTTCCAAATGTTGTTTTTTTTTTCATTTATTTGTGGCAACAAACAGTCATACATGAAATAGTAATTATTTACATATATTCCTCTTAAAATAGACCTATAGTGCCAGCAGATTATAAATAGATTATAATAAGAACGGCTGTAACATATCTTATAGAGTTATTTGTAATGATAACATTCTTGTTTCATGCGTTACTAGAGTTTTACATTAATATCATTAATTAATCTTTCTAAATTAAGTGAGCATGAGTAACATGTGTTGTACTATCTGATAGATTTTAGATCTATGTATATCTGGTAGTAGTATGTTCAAACGTGGGAGTGTCTATCGCCACCATTGCTGGTGCGTTTTGCATCGGGCTGGGTATGTATGCTAACGCTTTCTTTTCGATACCTTTAGTGAACACCAACTTGATTTGAACATGTTCTGTTTTTATTTTGTTTTTTTTTTCACAAAAATTGTTTTTTTTTCACAAAAATAGTTTTTTTTTTGTTTTCGAATTTTGTTTTTTATTTCCTTTTTTTTTCACAAAATTCGGGGAGCATAATAGTGTTCATTGGAGGTATCGTTTTGTTCAGTTTAATAACCGTTTCGAACATTGACTTACAAATAAATGGACGACGGGTCTAATACAAAAACCACGAAAAAAATGTCCCAAGTCAACCTATTTAAGCGTAGTGACATGTAAAGGAATATGAAAAAGCTAAAACGTTGAATTTAAATTGTAATGTCATCGCAGTACTGTCTAATTTTGCGTGCTTCGCTGTCAGTCAAACAAACGAAGACTAAAGCGTGAATGACGCTCTGTACACGATGTTAACGCCCTATAAGTTCGGACACTTTTTAGCGCGGACCCGACGTCCATATAATTGTAAGTCAATGGTTTAGAACGTTATATTTAAATATTTCCATTTTTGTATGAAAGTAAAATATGATTAATGATTAACAGTCATGGAGCAAAAGTTGTTGGTTATGATGTAATATAGTCCTACGAGATTGTTAGTGTTTTAGAAATAACCCTGTATAGACAGATGTTTTAATTTAATAAACTTCTGACATTTATAAAAATACCTATTTAAATAGAAAATTTTATTGAGTTGACATTGTGATAACAACTTTTCTGATTGTAATGCCTAATTTGCAAAATCCTTTTTTGAAATTTTTTTCGCAAAGCATTTTTCCAAAAAAACCCTTTTTTGCAAAATGTTATCGTTAACTTCGAAATTACTGCATTCCAAATGCACTGTTATGAAGCCATAAACTGTCGTAACTCAAAAATGATGGAATCAAGAAAACACGTTTTGAAAGTTCAAAAAAGTGTGCGAATTTTTATTTTATTACGTAAAAATAAAAGTAATTCGGAATAAGATTAATTTAGTATTATTTTTAATTATCAAATCGTGTTTTCTACATTCCATTCCCTTTTTGAGTTACGACAGTATTTATTTCATGTGCCAACAATAATTATAAAAACTTAAGAGGACACACGTATCCAGCAGTGGGACATGTAAACGGGTTGATGATGATGTTGATTAGGAGTTTTTGTTTGAAAAGAACTTCAGTAGCAATAGAAGAGATCCCGGGTTCGATTCCTACCAGGAAACATTTAGGAAACTAACTGGGTATTTTTGATGGTGCCCTCGGAGTTTATCCACTACTAATCCATCATCATACATAATTTTCAGCCCTGTAATACCCACTGTTGGGTATAGGCCTCCTTTCGCTCCTGCCAAACTTTCCAGTCCTGTGTGTCTCTGGTCCAGGTGGTCTACTCCTTCATTACATTACTTCTTACTTCATTACACTTTCATTACGTCGTCGACCCAACATGCAATTGGATGACTTGGAATTTTTCGGCCAGTCCTTAGCCACCACTCCGTCAGAGCCTTACTCCTAGTCTAACCAGCAGGTTTATCATGAGCACGAAGACAAAAGTTATCTCTTCTTCGAGCTGTCAATTTTCTCTCGAAAATCTCGAGATTTTAACAGTTCGAAGAAGGGATAACTTTTGTCTTCGGGCTGATGCTAAGCCTGCTGATGTATGCCCAACTGTACTTAAGGTCTATAACACGATCTACTACTAATCCAGAGAGTTAAATTTAAAATTAGTCTGTTTATTAAGATTTTTAACAATTCAGCAAATTAGGCATTATGCTAACAAATGTGTTGCAAGTTTTAAAACTAGGGTATAATTATAACACCATACATTCGTCAGTTACAGAATTATATCAATTACCTATCTTACATCAAGGAACTTAATACATATACCGTAAAAAAATAACGAGGTACAATACTAGATTTTATCGAAATTTTTATATAGACTCAAATTTTTCATTACTACACTGCTTTCATCAAACTAAAGTCAAACAAGAACGACATTATATACTTAATATCAATTAATTGAATATTCCATTTAATAACATATTTCAAAGTCCATTCCTTTAAAAAAACCTAATTCATTTATAAATATTTCTTTTTAAATATAATTTAAATTTGGGTATTTAATATTTGGAAAACATAAAACATTCCTTCCATGAATAAAACTTAAATATTAACAAAATTCAGTAATTTCAACTATGCGTACTCAATCTTAAAGTTGACTTCGCATTCTCTCTGCATCTGCTACGCGGCATCACCTACTAGACATCGCGAGTCAAATTGGGTATAGTCTGTCATTTTATGGTCAGTCATTTCATGATCAGTCACTAAATTGTTAGTCTTTTCATAGTCAGTCATGTCATTGTTAGTCACTTCGTAGTCAGTCATTTCATTGTTAGTCATTTCGTAGTCAGTCATTTCATAGTCATTTTAAGGCGTAAATATATGATACTACACTGTAACAGCCGCCTCAGGAGAGACAACAAAGCCGACCCTAAAATTTAGTCAGGTATAAGCTGACATACGACATTTTGCAAATGAGAAATACATTTACAATGTCTGTTATATCAAGCAAAAGTTCTGAGCCTCGTTTTGAACTATTATTTTGTACATATATTCATTAAAATGGATTTATTCCATTATTGTCTTATGCTAGAGAGCTACAATAAACTATAGTACGTTTTATATGTCACGTACTCATTGCACTGAGCGATTAACATAGAATAATTATTGCCAAAATCACGTCCGGTGGATTCAACATACCCAAGGCATATTACTCCAAAGCAAACTGCCGTATGTCATTAAAATGATCTGTTGACCATTTCATTAAGTGCATAGTCTTGGTCACTTGAGATAGTATCATCCATGAAGCCAATGAAATATGTACTCCGAAGATATGAGTGACATTTTAGCCGATGCGCACTTAATACAGGAGCCCCGATTATCTTTACTGTAGTAACTACAAATATAAACATATTGCCAGAAAGATCATCTTATCATAATCCGACAATTACATTTTTTTACAATTGTACAATATTTAACATAACGTAGTATAATAATAAATATTTATAGGGTAGCTAAGGTGTAAAATTCAGCTATGTAATAGTTAAATACAAGTATTTTAGGCGTAGTCTTCTTTTGGTGGACGCTTTATACTGATTTATGAGATCTGAAAACAAAGACGATGTTATTTTAACCAACTAGCTATATAAGTGAGATTTTTTTAAACCCTTAGGGCGCGTTTCCATTATGTCGTGACAACAGATAGTCGTGTAGTTTAAAGTGTCGTGCCTTGTATATTTAAATGAAGTCATTAATAGATCGAGGCGTTACTTTACGGAAGTCCATGTTAATAAAAATGAAAATAAATTAATTTGCTACTCCGCGAACCTAGTGAACGTTAAAACGTGCAAAATAGCCGCTATTTTTCACGATTTCACCTTCACTGGGCTCGTGGAGTAGCAAATTAATTAAATTCCATTTTTATTAAATGAAGTTGTTCAAATATAGAACAACACGATTAACTGTCGTACACGACTTTTTTAACGTTACGACGACAGACTGTTGAGACAATGGAAATAGCTAGAACGGCAATCATCCGACGATAAAACGTCACGGTAAAAATGTGACGACAGATAATCGCAGCTTCAAACGATTCTGTCGTGCAAACGACAGCGACTGCAGTGATCACTATGGGAACGGCTAGACATGACAGTCGTTCAACGATAAAATAAACGTTCACGACACAGTCACGACAGATAGTCGTGATATGGGAACTTTCTAGACGCGACAGTCGTCCAACGATAAATAAAACTTACCGACCGCATGAACAGTTTAAACTCCTTCACTGTTCATGCGGTCAGGCTTTGAAAAACTCTTCCCATTCCTGTACATGACAACAAATCCTTAGTTATCATTAAAATGAGTATCAAGGAGCACTATTTATCCTCTGTTCCATCCATTTTATAGATACTATAATATGAAATATGTATTTATCTAAGTACTTACATAGTCCGTAGTAATTTAATATTTTTGCTATTTTTTATTATTATTTTATTACATAATTTAATTTTGTTTTGTTGTGCACGTAAACTCGTTATTGTAGATATATCTATATATCTTCTGCAGGAAGAAATTTCTTATAGAAATAAGCAGTACCTTTTGTTTATGTTTTACGTTTTAATAAATGTGATTTGTGTTTTCATGTACAATAAATAATTAAATAAATAAAAATTAAATAAAACTTTAGCACATAATGGGAACGCGCCCTGACTGCTTGCGGTGCTGAAGTTATTTTTAGCCCGGTAGTTGATGAGAGATCTGCAGATTAACTGAACATCCGGTGCTATAAATTGTATACTGGGCAACCCCCATACGAAACGGGAAAAAATACTAACACTATTTCTTGAACCGGTTTTTCAGCACAGCCGCCCCGACATGTAAGCATAGTTTACGTTACGATAGAACAGACATATACCTCGTATAAAATTCCTAAATAAATAAAGATTTAAAAAAACCAACATGCGTTCAAAATTAATTTGTTTTTTATGGTGGATGAAAACGCAGGTGCGTTTTCACTCAAGTTAACCGAGACCTCGACTACATGAAGTTGATAGCGACTTCACGCATTAAATGCATGCAGTTGATAACGTCTTTACGCATTAACTGCATGAAGTTGATGACGACTTTACGCATTACCTGTAAGAAGTCGAAACCGACTTCATGCAACCGAGATCGACTTCACTTCATGCATGAAGTCTCGGTTGCATGAAGTTGATTACGATTTCACGCATTAACTACAAACATGCAGTCAATCTGTTAGTAGCCTTAAAGACATCGTATAGCTCTAGCTACAGTACTAAAATCATTAGGGACACTGTATGTCTCTGGGACACGTGACGGATAAAACAAATGTATTGTGAATCTGTGACTGTATTGTTAAATAAATAAATACTACCTACTAATTAACTTATGTATACTAACCGGTCACTGTTCCAGCATAGACAGGCGTAAAACCTCGTCCAAAGCTCTCTGCTCCCTTGCCAACTGCTGTTCCATATCTGCTTGCTCTCTCGCACTGAGAGCTAGGACCTCCTGGAGCTCTCTATCCGCATCTGTTTCCGTTTCCACAGGATCCGGCGTTTGTACTGATGGTGTAAGCGATATCGATGCCAGGGAGGCTTCTATCGCTCTGTGGATGTACTAGCTTTGTGAGTTCTAGCTTGGATTACTACTTGGGAGATAATGGGAGCATATGGGAAGTAAACAAGATACCAATTTTATACAGGCTGTTTAAAAAAAGTGCAATAATACCATAGTTATAATGATAGCAATTACGGCAACTCTCGCTTGTTCGACGCGTAAATGCCTACACTTCGCCCAGAGCGTAGGATCGTCACATTAATATTTTAGTTGTATGTTGAAAAAATTATGGTGTTCTCAAGCGATTTTGAAATAATCTTTAATCAACAAAAAACTCAATAATTCATTGGATCAAAAAGCGTCATCTACGCCAGTTGAAGCATCTGTAAGGATACCAGGCTGCGGTGAGGTTTTTCAAAAATCTCTTACAAGACCTCACTAGCGGCGACGAATGACGAAAGTCAGTACAAAAATCTATAACAAAACACGGGGAATTTCGACAACTCGGTAACTTGGCCTGTGGCTCAGTTGGTAAGAGCAAAGCTACGGTGCAGCATGGTTGTGGATTGCCGTCCCGCCGGGTCGAAGTATTTTTTCTGTGTGTCCGATCTTTGTATTAATAATCGGAAATAATTAATACAAAGAATAAAATAAAACTTCATTTTGATATTAAAAACAATTCGAACTGTGAATAGAACCCGCCAAACGTGAAAAAAACCTGCAATTTATATAAGTACAGCATTTATAGTAGTTTTACATAAGTATTGTTTTGTTCTAAATAACATAGCATCTTAAATAAAAGGAAGACCATGAAATTTAACATCAATTTTCTTTTTTTATAATCATGAGCACGAAATGTGAATTGACAAACTTACTTACAACTAGGTACCGCAACTTACGTACTATCATCTCAATATTGTTTTATCATGCACTTATAATAGGGAAATGATATCTATTTCTCAAGTTTGTTTGTACTCATTAGTAATACTTTGTCGAAATGATAATGTCAGTTATCCTATCCATTTTCCTAAACAAAATTTCAAATTAAATGGTAAATTTGATGTAGTTTCTTTTGTTTAAGATGCTATGTTCTTTAGAAGAAAACTATCCTTATCAGTTACATTACGTACGTACAGTAAAATTTGAGTTTTTTTTTCATTTGGCGAGTTCGGTTCCCGGTTTCAACAGGCGATTATTTAAAAATCTTTGAATTCCGTTCGTATTGTTTTTCAAATTAAAACGAAATCTTCTTTCAGTAAGATTTTCTATCTACGGTACTTTAAGGTACTTTCCCTCCGTGTCGCATAGCAGTGAGACGCCTTGTATAAGTGTGCATGTCATAGAGAAATTGAGCAATATATCAATATTTCACCTACTATACAAATACTATTCAGTGACGTACGCGAGAAACAACAATTTATAAATGAATTCATTATTATATGTCTACACAAGTATTATTACGTTCCTCCATCAAGCATAACAAGTAACCAAGAGAGTTATTGTTATAATTATAATACTACAAAATAGTGGACTACGTTAACAAAAAAATAGTTGAATATTATAGAGGTAAAAACATCTTGACATTCAATAAAATATTACAAAGTGAAATCATGTTACCGGGATTTAAAACAAAAAAAAAATGTTAGCTGCTAATAAAATAGCTATGTAGGTTTAAATGTGAACTTCTTAAATGGTGATAGTGATTTTGAACGTCTGCAAAACATATTGTTAGAATTTAAAAAATGAATGAAAACCTCGTAAAAAAAAAAAGTGGATTATATACTCGTACTGTATCATAAAATAAATAATTTCCAAATTCCAAAAACACTGCAGAAATTGAATTTACAAAATATATTAAGTAAAATGTATATGAAATATACGTTCCGATTATTCGAGAATGAAAACTGTTTGACTAATCTTGACGTAAAAAATCCATAGGGCGGTAATGTAATGAAAAAGCCCGCATGATTAAGACATTACAGTTACTTGGTCAGCACGTCATGGCACTGTTTACGAGCAAGTGTGATGAAAAGGCAGTTACCTTTGCAGCTGCCTCTCCTCGTGCGCTAAGAGGTCCCTGGGGGAGTCGGCCGCGTCGCGCTGCGGCGTCGTGGCGCCGGGTGTGACGGGGCGGGCGCCGCGCAGCGCCTCCCACACGTCCACCTTCAAGCCGGCCACCGGGGTTACAGCGAAAAAAATTCATAAAATTAAGGAAAGGTAAACATTTTTTCAAAAAAAATGGGTCTCCAGTTACTCGATGTAATCATACGCCTTATCATACCAGTATAATATCAAGTGACGGGACGAACAAGTCGTGCGCCTGATGGTAAGCGACACGCCTATCCATAACAGTTGCGGTGCCACTCAGATATTTAAATCGCAAATATGTGATCATTGGACTTTTCAACGCTTTTCAACTTTTTAAAGCTCTGAGTGGCACTACAACTGCTATGGACAGGCGTGTCGCTTACTACCAGGCGCACGATATTTTCGTCCCGTCACTTGATGTCATAAAAAAAGACACCTTTCACGTAAGCGTTTGGCAGTTTCGGTATTTCGTACACATCGGGTGCATTTATAACATTAATTTTGACTATTTTGGGCAATCAACTTTTAAATGTTGTTACCACAATTAACAACAATCCGCCCCGAACACCAGTCGGGTTTTGGAATACAAAATAAGTATTTAAAGAAAATGGAAAGTTAAAATGTATTTTGTAATTATTTTTTCCTAAAAGTCTTTTGTTTCTTTATTTCAAGAATAGAATAGAATATTACGCTATATATCATAAAAATCTAAGTTCTTTAAAAATTTACGTACATCATACAGAAATAATAAATTGTTTTCCTATCAAAATATTTTGATTAAGTTATTATTTTTATTAATTCGCTCTAAAAATATATAAAATTATTTAACTGACAATTTTATAATGATTATGTACATTTACAAGATGTCTATGAAGACAATGCCAAAACTCAAAGGGCTCATTATAGATATCAAAACTAACAACTATTGCGTGTTAAGACTTTTGAGATCATCATCATCAACCCATCTATATACATGCCACTGCTGGGCACGGATCTGCTCTGCGAGTGGGGGTTTAGATCGTTGTCCTCCAGCGTGGCCCAATGTAATTTTTATTTTGTCACCGTTAACAGTAGGTATAGCTACTAAACAATGACAAATGTGCATATCTCATAAATAAAACTACCACCACTCTTTAGCGACACTACATTTAACAATTTATGTTCGTACACGTAAATTTAAAAAATACTCGATTATTTGCGTGTAAACTTTTTATTCGCTAATTTTCTAAAGACAATTTTATTTTTTAAGAAAGTAACTTCTAGTGTTTTAGCGACGATTTTATAAACACCCGGTATATTTTCAATATCGGACAACGTTCTTCATTTGATTTGACTTCCAGCATCTCCAATAATGTAACCATATGTGCGTAGTCACAAATACAACATCCCAACTGCATAGCAATTGAAAAATAGTAATTGTTTTTTTTTTTTTTTTTTTTTAATACATGACAGGCAAATGACTCCACTCCACCTGATGTTGTATGCAGTTCACGCGGTTTTTAACTGACCGGTCGCATTCAAGTGTAATATATTCTACACATCATAAATATAATAAATTCACAACTAAAAAATCCCCATGGATGGACATAGTAAGCTTTTTTACAACAAATTCCCACTACGTAGTTTTATTTTATTATGTATGTGCGCATTGCATTGGGGATTTGTGGAAAAAACTCAATAAATGCCAACCACGAAGTTATTAACCCTTCAGAAGTTGAAACTGGTTTCCGAATGCATGCCAATTACTATTTTGCAGTAACGTTGCTGTTGGTGTGACACCTAGTTTGGTTACACCCTTAGTTGAATATATTCTTCTTCCTATTTATTCTCGCGATGTTCTGCGTTTGAACTTGTAGCCTAAACGGGAACAGAATATTAAACATTCCTATGCCACTTCAGATTCTAGATACTATAGCTCCGCCTATCTCTTATACAACTACAGATACATATTTGCCTCCGTGGCCGAACGGTTACCATGCTGGACTGACACGCAGAGGTGCCGAGTTTGATTCTCGGGGCTTATTTATGATACATTTATTTCTCTTTTGTGTGAATGTTGTCGTTGATGTTTCTTTGGATTCGTTTTTACTTACAATGTAATTTAGAAAAGATACATTTAATTTAAAAACTAACATGCTTTTTTTCATGAATTTCCATGGTAGATTTAGTGAGGTAACATCGATCGGACTGAATGAATGAATGCCATCACTGCCATGCCAGCAACACTCTTAATATTAAGACTCGACTGCCATTGCAACTAGATTTTAGCAGAATAACAAATATTATCATAACTGCAATACAATCTCAGTAAAGTCTAAATTTTAGAAAAGTATCTTTACCAAATCCGGTACAACCACGGAATTAAAACCAACTAACTAACTAACCGCTTGGCCACCGAGCTCCGTGCTATATACCGGGAATTGAGTGCTAACCCCATCGAGGTAGTAAATTTCGTCACTCGCTTACCTGGTCATCATGTGTCCCCACCTCCATGAGGCTCTGTTGTATGGCGTACTGAAGAAGGCTCTCTTCGTCGTCACACGATAGTCGGTCGTCGTGCGCTGCTGCATCACGATATCTGCAAGGTTTTATAAAAACCTAGTTCAGTTTACTCATCTTTTAGCGGATTTCTCTCAAAAGTTTAAGGAGACTGGTATCATGACTGTGGCATCATAGTACATTTACTCAAATGTTTTGTATGACCGTGTAAATGTACATAATTTCGTTAAGAATGACGATATCCATAATATTAACCTTAGAACTAAGTCCAAACTCATGGTACCACGATTTCGTTTAACTAGGGTAATCGATTCTTTTATGGGGAACTGTATACGTTTTTACAATAAGATTCCGGAGCATATATTAAGATTACCATTTCCTAAGTTTAAAACTTACATTAAACGTATTTTAATTGAAAAATCATATTTCAAAACTGAAGAGTATGTTTTAGATAAAGAAGTACGGAAAGACAACAAGAAGATTCCACACAATTATGATTCAAAGTGTATTCTGTAGCATTTAAGTTAATTTGAAAAGAGCAGTCCCTAGAGTTTCTTGCTCATTCTTCTCAGGGACGTCAGCGTAGTGAACGAGCAGTCGCTTAAAAAATTACGTTTTCTAGCAGTAGCTTAAAAATTACGTTTTCAAGTGTAAAAATTTTACCCATGGAATAAATTTTTCGGTTCGACTGGACAAAAGGGGGCACTATGGACACGGGATTTTTTTAAATTTTATTATAATTTGTATTAATGCATGTTTCGAAAGTAATTAAAAATATTTATAGTAGAATAAATATTCTCCTATAACTATAAGCTGTAGAGGAAAATTGATAATAACAAAAAGTGCTTCTTTAGGAGCCTATACAACTTCAAATGGCTATGGTATGATTCTGATTAACAGTGAAAATGGTGAATCGATCATTTTGGAAAACATATATAATATAACTGAGGATATACACTGATTAAAAAAAAACACAAACTCACTGGGCGATAATGTAATGAAAAAAGATAGACGTATTGAAAATGGATACAATTTAAGACATTACGGTCGACTTTGCCTGCGTGTCATGACATTGTTTACGAGCAAGTGTGATGAAAAGAATCTTAAATAAACTTATTGTAACACTGGCTGTAGTGTAGATGGACGCTGCGAATTTCGCAGTTTTCACTAAGATGTGTAATGGCTCAATTGGCCACTTGTAAATGAAATTTTGATAAAGACACATTTTTGAGAGTGAAAGAGAAAGACATACCCTCGTCCGATGGCGAAGCAGGCGTCGTCGAGCACGCAGGAGAGGCGGTCGCCTTCGTGGATGCACTCTACGTGAGGCACGGGCGAGTCCATCGCGAAGATGTTGCCGAACGTGATCCGCGCATTCAGCACGTGGAACAGGGGGATTTCTGTACATGAATAATCATGTTATTATAAGTGCAGCTCGAATTGGGTTCGACCTGTGCTGCGAATCCCCTGGGTTCGAACACCCGATTACAAATAGTAGTCGGTCATTAAAAACGACGAAGGCACAGCTACAGGAATGATAAAAGGTAAAAATATAATCTATGTTGAAAGTACTAAAAAAACTGACCTCAAAAGTCATTCATCCCCTAGTTTGCCACCCTTAGAAGCGGAAAATTTTCTTCAAATTTAAATGGGACCGCTTCTGAGGTACCCTTTTTCCAAGAAACAAAGAATCATCAAAATCAGGTCACAAATGTAGTAGTTCTCGCGTAACATATATACAAAAAAACATACAGTCAAATTAAGAACCTCCGCCTTTTTTTTGAAATCAGAAATAAAAGTAGAAACAATCAATTAAAAGTTTAAATATTACCAACGAACTGCTTTTAGAGCAGCAAACAAAAACCATCTAGGTTAATACCTACCCGACTTAATTTGCTTACCTATGAAATAAATATTACATGACTTTGACCCAGCTTATTTATTTTTTCACTTCACTAGCTCGGAAAGGCTTTCTTTCTTATTAGAAAACTGCGCACAAAAGCGTTTTATGCACGCTAGCGTGGTAAAGGTTTTTGAAATTTGAACTTGACGATGGACTGTGTTGCACCTTTCAATGAAAAAAAAAAGATAATGACACGTTCCACTACGCGATATGTCGTACATTACTTATTTATGTATTATAAATACGTAATGTTGACATTAAATTGACAATGATAACTAATTGTGTTTATTAAATTATTTTAATTCGTCGAAGACTAAAATAATTTCAATAATCACACAAAATAAAAGTACAAGCAAGAATAAAAATTGATGAGGTATAAATTCAGAACACGTCCGAATATAAACATTTTCTTTTAATTAAAAAAAAACTGATGTTTTATAGTTCAACTGTTTTTCTTTCATCTACCATATGGACCCTTCCTACGTAAAGTATCGTATGTCGAAATTGCCAAGGTTACAGGGGAGCGTTTTAAAGTTTTGAATTCACTGAAATTAGTGAATGATAACACGTGACGTTAGCATTTCTCAGTTTTATTAGGCAAAGCTCGTTACTCACATAGAGTATTATAAAATCCTAGACATCGGTTAAATGAACAACCACAATTTAATTTATAATTTTATACTGTGTGTTAGTTTACCCGCTTGTTGACGCATACCCGCCGCGTTAGTATCAAAATATAATATAAATTGTGGTTGTTCGTCTAAGCGATATCTAGGATTTTATAATACTCTATGCGAGTAACGAAGTTTGCCGAATAAAACTGAGAAATGCTACAGTCACATGTTACGCTCATTTCAGTGAATTCAAAGCTCTAAAACGCTCCCCTGTAAACTTGGCAATTTCGACATACGATACTTTACGTAGGAGGGGTCGATATACATCGCTATAGTCATGTGAAAAGTTGTATGTTTCGCTCGGCAGCAAAGTTGTTTTGCGTCTCGTGCCTTGATACCCTCGCTAAGCTCTGGAATCTATTTTAAATTAATCTTAGCTTCCTTCGCTTGCTCGGGTTTCAATACAAGCACTCACGACAACAACTTTGCAGCCTTTCATAACAAATAACTATTTTAGTATTATAAATAGTACCTTAAGAATGAGACATAAGTAATTTTTTGTTTGTTCGTTTGTGGTTTTTTTTAATTTGTAAATCATTTAGATGGTGAATTATTTGGAGGTGCATGGTGAAACCAAAGTTGGTTTTAGTTAGACAGTTAGCAGTCTAGACTTGATATTTTTTGTACCTATTTTTTTATAAATAAATAACTTAAAATACTAAAAAAAGGTATAATACACTGTTTCCCCACTTTTTGTACTATCCTTCTATGCAGAATTAAACGCATTGTAGATTTTGTTAATAAATCCATCACAAACGTAGTACCAATGTTACGATTTTATCTAATTCTACAACGACATACCAATTTTAACAGGGAAGCCAGCCGGAAGCTGCATCTGTACAAAGTCCTTGAGCTTGGCGAAGTGTGGCGATGATATCGCGGCCATCAAGTCCAGAATCGGCATTATTTGTTCTTGTAACTGTAAAGATGTTGAAGATATAAACACAGGGGTCCTGGTCGCGAATTTCTTCATTGCAGCACATTGACTTACAAATAAATGGACGACGGGTCTAATACAAAAACCACGAAAAAAATGTCCCAAGTCAACCTATTCGAAATTTAAATTGTAATGTCATCGCAGTATCGCGCTGTCAGTAGAACAAATGAAGACTAAAGCGGAGTGTCGCGCTCTGTATACGATTTTAGCGCCTTAAAAGTGCGGACACTTTTTAGCGCGGACCCGACGTCCATATAATTGTAAGTCAATGTTGCAGCATTTATTTTTTCATAACATCAAGTGACGGGACGAACAAGTCGTGCGCCTGATGGTAAGTTACACGCCTGTCCATAACAGTTGCAGTGCCGTTCAGAGATTTAAATCGCAAAGATCTGAGGGGCAGTGCCACTGCGCCCGTCACACTGAGACATAAGTTGACAAGTCCCATGTGCCTGTAATTTCTTTTGTCACAAAAGAAAGATAATTTCTTCTTGTAGAGGTGAGGTAGGAGAACACTTAAATGACATACATGTTTACTTGTCAATGCGTCGATCTATATTAATTCGAAACGTTTCATTTATTCGCCTCGAGCCAACGCTTCTTCATGGTGATCAATCACGGCGATGGGCACTGTAAACCGATCGTGACATATTTACGGCAGTGAGTCAGATATCCGGCTATCCGGCCTAAGTGTTCGCCGGATATCTAGTATCCGGCCAAATCACTATCCGTTTCATCTCTACATAATGCGTGTAAACAAGCCATTATCGTACACGTTACTGACCTCTAAAGGGTAATCTTCACATAACCACAGAGTAGCTCTGAATTTTTGCACTTTAGTCGTGATGTCCTTCGGCCGGCCGATGTCGTTCTCCAGCGGTTCACTAGAAAAGTACTCCTCCCATGTAACCGGTCGCAGGTTCTCTTTTGAACCACTACCGCGAGGGGAATCTTCCTGAAACGCATGATATATAAAAATTGTAAAACAGCTAATATAAAATCGAATCATAATCTTAAAGGTACATAACATTAATTATTAATACAAAGAAAAATTTTGTTCGCCTGATAGGTTGAAAGAATGTTTCTTTGTGTTCGATCTTTGTATTAACCCTAGATCACTAACCATTCGTATAATGGACGACGCGTACCGCTCGGTTTTATTGTTCTCGTAAGTTCGCGTCACCCGCCACCCTTCCCACTTTTAGTACCTTCCTGATTAGCACAGGTAGTGACCTGCAAATGCTCATTGTGGATGCACGCTGTTTTGTTTGGGATATATCGTGCTATCGTCGCCTGACAGACGAAAGGTTGGTAACTACGTATTTTTTTATAAAGGTATGCATTTGTTTATTTAAAACAAATTATTTCAGAGATCCTGCATATCGAAGACCTCCCAGAAGGTTCCAGTCAAGGAGTATCAGGAACACGCAAAATTTGCAGCTATTGCCCTGCTAAGAAACATCGCATGACGAAATATTTTTGTAAGGGGTGTAACAGGGCAATTTGTGGGGAGCATACTGTTTCGATGTGCAATAATTGTTCCGTTTAAGTTGTTCAAAAACAAATTTAGTTATTTGATTACCTTCAAAATAAGACTGCAATTAAAGACATTTTTTTTAATTAAATGAAGCTGATTAAATTTATATTGATGTTTTAATTCGTAGTCTGAGAGACGAAAGATTAGTGTCAACGTTACTAGAAATTAAGGTTAGTGACCTAGGGTTAATCACGGAAGAAAAGAAACGATGGAAGTGCCTGAAGACTCGATTACTATCAGAACCGATATCGCCAAAACTCATACATTCTTAATTAGAAATACTACAAAATTTGATATTGATTGGGCGTATTTTCCAATTTAAAAGGAAATAACAAATTCTGGATTGTTAGTACAATTTAAACTTTACCCTGTTGGCATATGTGGAATGTAGATGTAGAATGTAGATGGAATAATGGTGAATAATATTACTACACGGATGACATGGTGTTGCTAAGTCCCTCAATAAATGCTCTTCGGAAATTGTTAGGCATATGTACAAAATATGCAGAGGCTCATGGTCTTAGGTACAACGCGAGTAAGAGTGAGTTGCTAGTTTTTAAATCGGGTAGCAAAACCTGTAGCACTGTGCCCGAAGTTACTCTGTGTGGCACTCCTCTTAAAAGAGTCACCGAATTTAAGTACCTAGGGCACTGGATCTCTGAGACTTTAAAGGACGATTTAGATGTTGAAAGGGAGCGTAGGGCGCTAGCAGTGAGGGGCAACATGTTGGCTCGTAGGTTTGCTAGGTGTACTGACGACGTCAAACTTATGTTGTTCAAGGCGTACTGTTAGTCATTTTATACATGTAGCCTATGGGTCAATTACACCCAAAAAGCTCTAAGCTCCCTCCGTGTTTTGTATAATAATTTATTTAGGATGCTGTTGAAGCTGCCTCGATTTTGCAGTGCATCTGGAATGTTCGCCGTGTCTCGCTTAGATGGCTTTTCAGCTATCATGCGAAAAAGGGCGGCTTCTTTGTTGCGCAGGATTCGGGGCGGCGATAACAGCAGAGTATAATTGCAAACCGTGTACAGGGTTGCTTCCTAGATCACTGGTCTAGGATACACATTAGTTTTGTGGCCTATAATAATAAATTGTAAAATAAGCAATTTGTAATACTAACCCTATTTTTAAGTGTTTTTTAAGGGTTTTGTTAAATTTATTATTATATTATTATTATTATTATATGTTATCAATATCAACACCTAAGATGTTTTACCAGCACGGTATTCAATCATATATAAATACCGGCACGCCAGGACGGGCGGACGGGCGGACGGGCGGACGGGGTACCTTGTCCGCGTCGGGCAGCAGCGGCTGGACGGCGTCGGGCGCGTCGTCCTTGGCCAGCGCCAGCAGGCCGGCCAGCGGCGCGCGCGCCGGGCGGGCGGCCGCGCCCTTGGGCAAGTGCTCGCAGCGCGTCTTGGAAACCAGCTCCACGTTGTTGGCGCTGAACACCTTGCACTCGTAGCCGCTCACGGGCTCCGTCTTGTCCTGCCGCCAGCCCCAGATGCCGCTCTTGTTGCTGCAACGCGCAACAACAGTCTTACAGCGATTATTCATGGCGACTTTTAGCTAGATGTGTGCCGAACGTGTTCGATCGAATCAAAATGATTCTAACAGCACCTGCGATCCGATAACCCGGTTACTAGCTTCTAAATCATCGGATCATTTTAGAGTTTCGTGGGTCATGCGCGCAATATTCGACTTTATCCTTATAATTTTAGAGATTATTCAACAGTTCACAATATTATTGTCTCGTTCACTCTCACGTGAAGTCCCCACTTACATTTGGGTCGAACAATATTCGATCGAACATAAAAGTCAATCAATCGACCAACGCGTCAACGGGTCAACCAACGGATCAATGAGCCTATCAATCATTCATCCTAATTGCTCCATGGCGTAGTGTCCATTACAAGGTAATTTTGTAAATTTAATCTGTTTTTGGCATGTGTTAATTTAAGAGTGCACTAGCTAATATTAAAATATTAATGAATAACAAATCAGTAACTTTGAATGCTTGTAAGTTTTTTGTTTTGTAACACCGTTAGTTTTCCTAGAAGAAAATTTTAGTGTCCTAAGTGTGATGCATTTAACTACAGCCACATTACCCATCAGCAGGAAAGAATAAAAGCTAATTGTATAATTTGACACTTTTAAACGCCATAAGGAAGTATCATGAGGGAAGAGTGACCCGCTAAAATATCGAACATATGATCGAATCATTTGATCCAATCGCACTACGTACATGGGTCATGATCGACCCGGGTTCTCAAAAATGATCGACCGACACAGGTCTACTGTAGCGACGCAATCGCGCGTTTCACGAACGTGCGTTTGCGTTGCTGCTAAAAGTCACCGTGTGTAACCACTCCTACCTTCCTGCCTTTTGTACCAGTAGTAGAGCTCGTCCAGGTTCAAAATACCCAGACATCAGGGTTTCTTAGCCTTTTTCTTAACATGGACCCATCTCAAAATTTCAAAATGCATACGGACTCTTTTTTCACTCACTCACAACATATTGTATACCAATTTTTAAATTAATGCATTAAGAAAGATAGGCTTGGTAGGTACATTTGGTAGGATTTCTTGGACTGACGTTCATAACACGTCCCACAGAAACGAAGAAGTTTAAGAAACCCTCCTTCTAGAGCTCCAGATAAATCTTTACATCATACTTGCACGTAGTTTTTTTTTAATAATAACGCACACATTCAACATAGCCCCGCACTAGGGAAACCCTGTGTCGCGGGTGCCATGGACACACACATAGACAACCACAAATTACACCCAAGCTCACAAGACAAATAAATGTAGGCCATACAAATATTTCTCCCGGCCCAGGAATCGAACCCGGGACCTCTGCGTGGCAGTGCAGCATGGTAACCGTTCGGCCACGGAGGCAGTCAATAGCAAGCACAGCAAATAGTGTGATTGTATGCTAACTTGACTATAACGCCCCAAACAAAACCCTCAAACCGTTTTTCTTCTCATTACACGACTATGGCCGTAATGAGAAGAAAAAATACCCGAGGGCGGTACGGGAATTACAAACCTCATTTCGAGCTTCTCTATTAGAACGTACTAAATTCCTTATTTACCACCTTAATACACAATGTACTATATCGGTCCGGGCAGTATGCTTATAGAACCACCTACCGGAAGTACTAGTTGATAAATTTAAGAGGGAGCACGCCAAAAAAGTTTTGACGTTGGCTCCTTTTTGTGAAACAATATGCCTGGAGTTCGCGTGACATGCGACAGCAGATGTTGAATTTTGCGCATTAAAAGTGCCAAATTCGTTTTAGCGGAATAACTCTAAAACTAAAAGGATTAAAAAAAAATCCGTATTGAGTTCTCGATCATGCATAAATATAATTAATTATCTAATTTATGTCCTAATAACCTGTAGCATTTCGAGGATGAATCGAAAAAATGTGAAAATTAGAGGTCATTTCGTGATTTTTATCTATCCAGGAAACTTTATTGCTTTATGTTTCTGATTAGTGTCTATGCTTGAATATATCGTGTAGTTACTCATACAATATTTTATTTTTAACTTTAAAGTGGATATACAGAACGTAGTATAGCTCACATTGCTGCTTGGCGGCAAAAATAGGTAAGGCAGTGCTTCCTAGGATTAACCATTTCCCAAGCTCTAGAGCTGCTATGTGATGTTGTCTAATACTTATTATTTAAAAAAGTGCCTCTAACATACATTCTAAAAAGTAGGAATAGAATCTCCAAAAAACTAATCAAAAACGAGATTATTCAAACAGCGGAGATTTTCTTATGCCTACAACGCACCGTTCGAAGCTAATCTTGTCGGTGTCCAAGTAGTTGAGGCAAAGCGGCGCAGCCATTCGCTGCTCGAGCGCCTGCCGAGGCGCGGCCGGCCAGTCGCGGCTGCCTTCCAGCGGTTCAAGGAACTCCGTCCACGATGTGCCCAGTTCGTGATCGAGTTCTATCAAACTTGCTGTGCGACCTGGAGGAAACATTACATAACAGGAGTACACTTTCATTATTACATAATGGAGTGAGAACACAAGAAACAAGCCTCCCTTGTGGTCGCACTAGTAGTACAAATCAGTGGAACTACGAGAAAACAGCGGAAATATTGTAATTATTGATACAAAGATCGAAGAAACACAAAGAAAAATTCCTTCGGTCTGTCTAGACTCGAACAAGCATATGTTGCCACACCGGGGCCATCACTCTTACCAACTGAGCTAAAGACCGAGTCGGCAGATATTACGAATTTCTCCATATAGTTTTTTTTACATCAGCGCCACCTGTCACAAACTTATAAAAATCTATTCGCACAACCAGGTACCTTTACAGCTGCCAGAAGCTGACGAGAGATGTCGCTATATTCGTCGCAATATTGATTTTATTGGATATCATAATGTTTTTACTACAATGATAGTCAATATTTTATATGAATATTATACGGCCTAGTGCAGGGGTTACGCGTACAAAAGATGACTGATCTATATTACAAGTTTACCAGTCTAACTTGAAAATCAGCTCGACCTTCAGGAATGTCTCATCGATTAAATTCTCAAAATCTGAACTTCAGACAATAAAACAAAGAGATGAAAATATTCCAGATTTGGCATTTTAGAACGTCCGACTGATTTTCAAGTTAGACAGCCCTAGAGACAGGTAGATTCAAATGATGCGTTATCGCGGATTTTTTTTATAATATTAAATAACGGGACGAACAAGTCGTGCGCCTGATGGTAAGCTATACGCCTGTCCATGACAGTTGCAGTGCCACTCACAGCTTTAAATCGCAAAGACCTGACGGGCACTGCCACTACGCGTGTCACCCTGAGCGCCCACTTACACGAGGCGAAAGCTTTCACCGCGCGGCGACCGCCCAATTACCACGCCTTCATGTACATTAATGGCGAATAGGAATTCTATTTACTAAGTAACAGCATTTTAATTCCCCTGAATAATACAACCGCTGACCGCTGCGTAGACCGAAATCAGGCCAGGCCCGCCCGCGCGCCCGGGACGCGAATTTAAGTTAAAACGTAAAAGCTAAACAAATAGAGCGTACTTTGCTATGACAGTTAGACGCACGCGGTCGCTGTGCGGCGGCAACGCGGACTCCGCTATTCGACCGGGCGGCGGCCGCGCGGGGCGAGCGTAATGAAATTCGATTCGAATAAATGCGCCCTTAGACATAAATTGACAAGTCTCATGTGCCAGTAAATTCACCAAATAGTTGATATTAAAGTGATATTTTTTTAATAAAGACAAGTTAACTAAGATCAGTGAACCTGGAGCCAGGATCGTGATAAAGGAAGACGAGCGTGTTCCATGTTACCTGTTATCTTCAGTTACGTACCTTGCCCCCTGAAAATGTAAGTGCGGTCCCCCCGTTGCCAGCGATTGTTCTCGAAACCGACGAGAGTGGTGTCCACGCGCACATTGCCGCCGCGCTTGTACACTTTGTAAGTGTCGAACGGACACATGCGGGATACTAGGGGCACTAGAAATTAAATTGTAACCATTGTACATTATTAATACAGTATAACACAATTATTTTTTTTGTGACTGGACGAACAATTCGTGCGCCTGGTTGTAAGCTACACGCCTATCCATAACAGTTGCAGTGCCACTCAGAGCTTTAAATCGCAAAGATCTTAGGGGCACTGCCTCTGCGCCCGTCACCCTGAGATACAAGTTGACAAGTCCCATGTGCATATAATTTCACCAACACCCTTACCCTTCCAAACCGGAAAGCAGTAATAGTCACATTACTGCTTAGCGGCTGCAATAGCTAAGGTGGCAATAATTCCTTGGACGAACTCTTACAAGGAGCTCTACTACTATTAAATGCATTTTGACAATTTGCTGCAAATTCTGCTGCAAACACTGTACGTCTTTGCTGAATTCTTGTTTGAAATTTACTGTGATATCAGTTTAAAAATATTAATTATTTTAAACTTAATCTAGGCTATGTTTGGAGCCGTAAGCTGAAGTAGCTGAAGCAGTGAAGACGGTATATCCTACTCACCCCAACTAGTAAACTCCCACTTCATCTCAACGTAAAAGTCAGGCGCTAGACTGAGCTGCCTCAGCAGGTCCGGTATACCCCCAGCTCGCACTAGGTGACGCTGGTAGTCTCGTCGAGATAGTACGAGAGCTAGGAGATCGATGTCACCAGTTGCAGTTGCTTCTTGTACCGCTGGAGAGACAAGATACTTTAAATTTTTTTAAATAAAATCTCATTTTTTTAAAATCTTAAAATTTAAGGAAGAACTTATTTAATGGTACTTTTTAGACATGGAAATTCAAGAATATTCAGATACTATCGGTATTCATTAAAAAAAACGCATACATTCATTGACTTACAAATAAATGGACGACGGGTCTAATACAAAAACCACGAAAAAAATGTCCCAAGTCAACCTATTTAAACGTAGTGACATGTAAAGGAATATGAAAAAGCTAAAACGTTGAATTTAAATTGTAATGTCATCGCAGTACTGTCTAATTTTGCTTGCGTCGCTGTCAGAAGAAACAAACGAAGACTAAAGCGTGAATGACGCTCTGTATACGATTTTAACGCCCTATAAGTTCGGACACTTTTTAGCGCGGACCCGACGTCCATATAATTGTAAGTCAATGCATACATTACTAAAAAATGTACCTATTATAATTATTAATACAAAAATCGAACTTAGAAAAAATCCCTTCGATCCGGCTGGATTCTAACCGACGTCTTCTAGCAAACCGTGCCAGACGCTATGCCAACTAAGGCACAGAACGAACCAGCGGACCTCATGAATTTTTCTAAGTGTTTATTGTCGGATCTTTGTACTTGGTTTTCAACGAGTTTTTAGCCATAGCGCCATCTATGCGAAATCTATGAAAGTATTTCGTCACGCAGTTAGGTAACTTTACAGCTACCAGCCCTGGCTAAAGATGTCGCTATTAACTATAATTAAATTTGTATTTAATTGACATTCAATTACCTTTTGTAAAATTACTCCACTAGTTTGTTATAATTATTAATACAAAAATTATATTATTAATACGAACACTTGGAAAAAATTATAACAAGCTCCACTAGGAGTAATTTCACAAAAAAGAATTGAATATAAATTCAATACAAATGTAATGTACATATGTTACCTGTTATTATTAAAATAGATTCATTTTCAAAAAAGACTATTTGCCAGTGCCAGAACCCTTGGGTAAAAAATATTTTTTTAGTTACCTGAAAAGTTACGTCGTCGCTAGTGACGCCTAAATCATAAAAAAACCAGTAATTGTTAGATCGCATTTTGTTTGTGCGAACACTGAGTTACTTTATTGTCTAATTTGGGTGCGTTCGTAAACTATTTACAATTCACAAAATATCAAATATGGTTTTGTTAAAAAAAAACTCGAAGTTCTCAAAAATTACGAAAATTTTCTTAAAAATGAAAGTTAGCTACATATAGAGATCAAAAGTTACGGAACCTCCTCCTTTTTTGAAGTCGGTTAAAAAATGGATTTATTCTTAAAGTAATGCATCCAAATTATTTCTATATCCAAATTATTCCTTGATAAGAAATTTAATATTTAAATGGACATTTTTGCTATCTCCTAAATAATCACGCTTTATAAGATATGAATTTGAGAAAGTAAGGAATGGAAAAGTTGTATATATGAGGTTAGTAATATAGTCTTCGGAGGTTGTTGGTATTTTACAAATAACCCTGTATATTCTACGAACGAAATTATTCGATAACTTTTTTGCTTCATTAAGAGAGTTAAAAAATTTCACATATACCTAATTTGTTTCATGTAATTTGCCTTACTTTTATGACTTCCATGTAATAAAAGCCCTTTGACATTTGAGCACATGTGGCTTTATTATACCAAGGGTTTAGATATGTCCCGCTACTGAGCACGGGTCTCTTCTAAAGAGATGGTTTAGGCCACAGTACTAAAAATTAAATCTTTTTTTTTTAAATTTTAAAAATCTTATTCTGTAAAACTAGCTACCTGTCCACCCGTCTTTCTCGCAGTTGACGTCTGCACCGGCTTCGATGAGCGCACGTACGGCATCTGTATAGCCTAAAGTCACAGCCAATAGGAGTGGCGTGCGTCCTTGGGGATCTTTGCTCTCGATTTCTTCTGCTGTGAACTGCAAAATGCATAATACCACCAGTAAATTTGCTTATAGAACATACATTTTAAGTTTTCCGTGATTTGTCATAAGTCGTGATCGAAATTGAGGAAGGTGATTTACCTAAAGTATGAATGTTTTCTTAGTATGGACGTACCTTATTTCATACTACTTACTTTCTAAACATTCCAAAATATAGGTTGGGACATGTTTCATTTTTAAATGGCTAAAGTATTTAAATACGTAAGGAATTTAGGGAGTTAATCTACCTAAAGTTTGAACGTTTTCTTAGTATGGACATACCCATTTCGTCATCATTGCATATACAATTTCTTATTTTTACTATTTATATTTTAAACATTCCAAAATATATGTTGTCTCCTGTTTATTTTAAATACCTAAACTATTTAAATGTGTTAGTGTAGGTACTGTTTTTGCTTATAATTACTTAATATAGTTTCTATTACATTTTGGTACAAGCTGTTTGTATCCTCTAAAATAAGTAAATAAAATAAATAACACGCCTGTCAATAACAGTTGCAATACGACTCAGAGCTCGCAAACCGTCACCCAGAGACATAAGTTGACAAGTCTCATGTGCCTGTAATTTCATCAGCACCCTTACCCTCCAAAACCAGAACACATTAATGCTGACATTACTGCTTGGTACAAATAGGAAAGGTTCCAGTACTTTCCTGGACGACCTCTTTCACACAAGGAACTCTGCCACTACTTAAACTTTCTAATAATTGGTCAGGTAAGTATTACTTCTACATAACCCAATTACCTACTTACTTTGCTTGCCTAATTATTTATTTAAATTGTAATTAGGCAAGCAGGATGTGGGTAGAGCGAGCCTAAATAATGATCATTATGTCTATATATGTAATGAGTATTAATAAAAATGTTCTTTTTCTATTGGTTCATTCATCATTTGTTACCATGGTTGTCTAGCAAAATTTTGTTAATAACATTCTACGTCAAATTTAGCTAAAGTATAGATTTAATAACTTAACACCTACTACAACCTACGTATTTAAATTCCAGTTACGCGAGCATACTGTGGACAGAGCTGATGTAAATAATAAACATTGACAAAAAATGTTCTCGATGCCCTCATTGGTTGCCTATATATAGTCCATTTGTTTAGGTACTTAATTAAATGTAAGCAATCTTGATACATCTTTTTATTGAAACATACTTTACAAATCAATGGGAATTAAAAATAGGCATGCAATTTCATACGAAGCTAAGTATTTGTATTTTGTAAATGGAGGTAAATATATTTCATTAAATAAACATCACAAGATTGTTTACATTTAGTTAAGTAACTAAATAAATGGACTATAGCAACATTTTTATTAAACATTCTGTATCGAATTTTACTAAAGTATAATTCTTGTAATAAGATGTTTAGACGACACTAATACTTCCACCTGGAGTTTCTTGTTCATAAGGTACAAATAGATACGACCTGCTGTGTAAGAATATGCTAGATCCAATTACTGACCCAAGTATGATAGACCAATTCGCGCATGACAACTAACATAGTATTATCTTAAAATAAAAAACTTTCATTTATATTAATATTATCTATTTAGTTTCAAAGCGACAGTGGTATCCTGTCACTTTGAAATTAAATCGTATATGATTGAATAATAATAATAACGCACACACTCAACATAGCCCCGCACTAGGGAAACCCTGTGTTGCGGGGGCCATGGACACACACATAGACAACCACAAATTACACCCAAACTCACGAGAGAAATAAATGTAGGCCATACAAACAGTATATAATGTAGGCAATACAAAAAGGCCCGGGAATCGAACCTGGGACCTCTGCGTGGCAGTCCGGCATGGTAACCGTTCGGCCACAGAGGCAGTTATGTAATGACACATCAATATAGCGAAATTTGGGAGATAAATTATTGATATAACGCAATTTTGAGATAATACTATGTTAGTTGTTAAGCGCGAAGCGCGAAACACCCTGTCCCAAAATACTATAATATTAAATTATAATTATATTCTGTAAAAATTTTTTATAAGATGTTAGTACTATAGTCCTGCAAGGTTATTTTACAAATAACCTTGTACAATTACTTGTCCACACCTCTTTATTTACATATGCACGACATGAATGTGTAAATGTTTTTGTTTCATTCTTTTTTTAGATTCTCATTGCACAATGTTAAAATTGTCTTTATCAACCCTGATGTTAGCAGAATCAACGAAAAAAAAAAACAAAACATTGATAAATAAATTAGAATATGCAAATATTTTTTCCATTCAGTCATGTACAACAAAAAGAAGAAATGCTAAATCCTCCAGCAATCAACGAAGCCCATTCAATGTACTTGTTATGTAAAAATTAATCTCGTTCTGTCTGAAGCCCTACAGTGTACGAAGGCTACTGTTTAAAAGGTGCCTAAAATATTTGGATTGACACAATTCAATAGTTGTAGTACTTACTCAGGTACTGGCACCACGCGAGACTTTAACTATATTTTATTTCAAATAATGTATATTTATATTTATATATAAATAATTTTTTAAATAAAATGTAATAAACAAAATACAAAACAAAGAATGACTCAGCATGTTATAGGCTGTCATATTAATGACTGAGTTAATTTATACTTTTATTATTAGTTTTTATGATATGTACGGAGTTTGGGTTTTGAAGCTTTCACTGTCTTAGACAAATTTACAGTCGAAATTTAAACTTAAGATGTTTGCGCGCGTTTGAATAGATTCACTACAGAGCGTTTGCGGCGCGTATAAAATACGGCGTGTGCGTAGGCTTTTAGTCATCGAGTATACATTATAACCAGAAATAGAGACGAAATAAGGGCCATCCATCCCTGGCAACTCATCAGGTAAATGAGCCTTATACGTGGGGTGCGCTATAAATTTCCGGAATGAATAAGAAAAAATACTATAAACGGTCAGAAATGAATTTATTGTTTCTCAAAATATTCTCCGTTAGCGTTAATGCAGTTTTTCATATGAATGAACCAATTTTGAAAACATTTATGCCACTTCGACAGCCTCTT